TTCATGTACTGGGTCATTAGATCGGTACCAGTTTCTTGTCATATGTGGGGGGGGGGTAACCACAAGGGGCCTTTGGTCAACCTCATGTGCCTGAGATGTTCTTTGGGTGGAAAATCAGAAAAGTTTCCCTGGAAATGTAAAGATGGGCAATCCAATTACCATGGGAAGGTGCTTGCTGATAGATGCCACCATGACTGTACAGAGTTAATTAATGCTATATAAAGGCATCTACTAGCATTAGATATAGGGTCTACTAGCATTAGATATAGGGACGCGGGTGGCGCTGTGGGTTAAACCACAGAGCCTAGGACTTGCCGATCAGAAGGTCGGTGGTTCGAATCCCTGCTACTGGGTGAGCTCCCGTTGCTCGGTCCCTGCTCCTGCCAACCTAGCAGTTTGAAAGCACGTCAAAGTGCAAGTAGATAAATAGGTACTGCTCCAGCGGGAAGGTAAACAGCATTTCCGTGCGCTACTCTGGTTCGCCAGAAGCGGCTCAGTCATGCTAGCCACATGATCCGGAAGCTGTATGCCGGCTCCCTCGGCCAATAATGGCGGCTAACAGATTGAGGTTGAATCCTGACAAGACAGAAGTACTGTTTTTGGGGGACAGGGAGCAGGTTGGTGTGGGGGATTCCCTGGTCTTGAATGGGGTAACTGTGCCCCTGAAGGACCAGGTGCGCAGCCTGGGAGTCATTTTGGACTCACAGCTGTCCATGGAGGCGCAGGTTAACTCTGCGTCCAGGGCAGCTGTCTACCAGCTCCACCTGGTACGCAGGCTAAGACCCTACCTGCCCGCGAACTGTCTCGCCAAAGTGGTGCATGCTCTAGTTATCTCACGCTTGGACTACTGCAATGCGCTCTACGTGGGGCTACCTTTGAAGGTGACCCGGAAACTGCAATTAATCCAGAATGCGGCAGCTAGACTGGTGACTGGGAGTGGCCGCCGGGACCACATAACACCGGTTCTGAGAGATCTGCATTGGCTCCCAGTACGTTTCCGAGCACGATTCAAAGTGTTGGTGCTGACCTTTAAAGCCCTAAACGGCCTCGGTCCTGTATACCTGAAGGAGCGTCTCCACCCCCATCGTTCAGCCCGGACACTGAGATCCAGCGCCGAGGGCCTTCTGGCAGTTCCCTCATTGCGAGAAGTGAGGCTACAGGGAACCAGAAAGAGGGCCTTCTCGGTAGTGGCGCCCGCCCTGTGGAACGCCCTCCCACCAGATGTCAAAGAGAACAACAACTACCAGACATTCAGAAGACATCTTAAGGCTTCAGGGAAGTTTTTAATATGTAACGCTGTACTGTTTTTAACACTGATTGGGAGCCGCCCAGAATGGCTGGGGAAACTCAGCCAGATGGGCGAGGTATAAATTATTATTATTATTATTATTATTATTATTATTATTATTAAACCGAAATGAGCGCTGCAACCCCAGAGTCGGCCACGACTGGACCTAATGGTCAGGGGTCCCTTTACCTTTACCTTAGCATTAGATATGGTAGGAGTTCCAAGGAGCAATCAGACTTGAGCATACACAATCCATTATGAATACCAGTGAGAACAAGGAAATCCTACAGCTTCTACCATGAGAAGGAAATTTGGCACAAACCAGTGGGAGTTTCCCTTGATAAACTCTGCCGATTCCTTGAGCTGGTGCTGCACTCATTTCTCAGAGCAAAGCCAAAATAACCACTTGGTACACGTGCAGAGTTCCAGTTGAACTGAACTTCTCTCAGGGACAACAAAGGCAAACATCTTAGTAAATCTTGCTGTGTCATTCAAATACCAATTTCTGCCTTCATCTAGTCTCTCTCCCACACCCCATGGGGCAGGTTGCTTTGGCCTGCTATATAGCAAGGCCAGCCCGGCCGCCTTGCCTCTTGCATGCACCATTTTGCTACAGCAGCTCCAACTGGTCTCTAGACTTCGCAAGCCAACAGAAACCTCTGAGCCGCTAAAACGCTCACAGAGATATCGTAACGCTTTAAGTCGCTGAGCCAATGGCTATTCAGGTCTCACCAGAAACTGAGTGTGGTCCCAAATTTTTTTATTGCCACATGGTATCTAAAAGGATGCAGGAAAAAAATCCATCGTCTAAATTTCCAACACTAGCATCTGCTGACTTGCGCCACCCAACTTTTCACTTCAGAGTTATGCAGACACATTTTATCCTGTACTACATTTTGCCTCCTTGGAGAATTGTGGAACAAAATGAGGAAGGAAACTGGGTGTGAAAAGTAAATATGGAAGTGGGAGCTTAAACCTTTAATGATTAAAAGGACCAAAAATACAGACATTCATTGGGGGAGGTTCCTGGCTTTCCTCTCTACAAGGACTTTATTTTGGCACATTCGTTCAAGGGGAGGGAATTTGCTTCTGTTTCATTGGGGGGGGGCGTGATTTGAAAAATCTCTCAAGACCACCAGACTAATATGTGCACATTGTGTTCTCATTGAATCCCTAAATATGTCCTCTGATTGAACTCCTAAAGCAGGCCCAGGAAGCCACAAGACCCAGGAAGCAGAATGCGGCTCATTGGCCATGCCCTACTAGGGCCTCCAAAAGCCTTCGTTTTTTGCTGCCTGCCCGAGACTGGGGCTCCTCACTCCCTCTGGCAAATGCTGCCAGTTTCAGAATGCTTCCCTGTTACGGGAAAACCAACACAACTGCCTACACTTCTGCAAGCGAAAAGGCAAAAAAATACCTGTAGTTGGCACAAAATTAAAGACGCACATTACAAACAAATGCCGATTCTTTAGAGATGTGAATGCTGGGAGAGATCAGTTTCATTGAGATGGCCAAAGCCCAACAATGATCTTGGGTCTCAGGCATTAGTTCAATGAATACCTTACAATGGGGCTGCTACCATAATGGATGGGCAGAGACAGCTCAGGATTACAGTCTCTCTCTGAATAAGAGATCGGTGCACAAGTACAAATTTATTGCTAACCTTTTCCCTCTTCCTGACTTCTGTCCTCTCTTCTTCTTCCCTCTATACATTTTTGGTTCCTTTGTTTTCCTCTCTTTCGTGGGCTTAATAGACTGCATGTGGATGCCAGAGAGGTACTGGTCACTGATAGAGCTGCAACAGCTTAGCCAGGAGAACAAAAGGTGCCTCTATATTGGATTACATCATATTATACTCCTGGAACTCAAGCTACTCTGGAAGTCACACATTCCAGTTTGAATGCAGTTGCTCAGTGGTGAGATAAAGGCACTCTGTGCATGCTTAAGCACTCTTTTCTGTATTATCTATATCCTAGGAATGTTCTGCATGCTAGGCATGCCCTCTACCGCTGAGCTATGGCCTTTCCAGTTTCTGAACTGGTCGATTTCTGCACAGATACAATATTAATGCTATGCTATGCTATGCTATGACCAAACAGTTTTGAGGTGGGGTTGGGAGGTGGATCTGGGCTGAAAGACTTAAGGAATGATATATGTCTAATTGTAACCCAAAAACACCTGAATCACATCTTGTTCTCCCCTCTTCCACAAGTTCCTCTGAATGCGGGGTAAAAGCAGTTTGTTCTCAATATGAAACATTTAAGTTCAGTGAAATAATTCAATGAAAGGTGCAAGAATGTCTGATGGGGTAACCCTGAAAAGTTCAAAGGGAGGGAGAAAATAAAGAATTGCTTTGACATTTAAGAGCTAAAAACAAGCACAGAACCCTCAAAGCAACTGTTGGGACTCCACATAGCTCAGTATCAGATATACAGATTCGCACTGTGACTGTCTGGGAAGAGTAGGAAATGTAGTTGTCAAGACACAGGAAGAAGAAGAAAGAGAGGGAGAAGAAGAAGAGGAATCAGCTGATAGTGCTAGAGAGGAGGAGAAGGAGCTCTGGAGGGGGAAAGGGTACTTCAAGCCACATCATTTAAACACACACACACACACACACACACACACCCCAGTTCATCACTAAGACATGACAGCTCCTTTAAGTTATCAGATGACTATGAAGATTCCAGAGGACTTGGAGGGCAAGGGTTTATTTATTTATTTTGCAAGGCAGTTTTACAAACCCCACACTGGATATGCTTTCAGAAGAGACACCGGAGGATCAAACTATTGCAGCAAGAGGCTTACCGATCAGAGACGCTACTGCAATGCCATGTCCATATCAATGCAAGATATGGGTATGCTCCGTCCAGAAGTGCAGTGTATAAACATTTATAGAAATAAATATTTCTTTTAAAAAATCCCAAATCTGATGCCCTTGTGCGCTCAATTCTGTTCATTGATACAGCATGCTGAACAAAGGTTGGAGCCTTCATCCTAGTCAGCTCTAAATCAAAATATCAACCTGTTTTCTGCAAGGGGCTTGTGCAATAATGAACCAAGTTGAGCACATCCACACAAAGGCCTCATCAATTTTATTTATGAGTCCTGTGGGACACATATATGGCGTGTTAGCTCTGAACTGACCCACCTTCTGTTGTTGGAAGCTTACACCACAGAGGGAACCAACCCACTATTGGCACCTGCTGTGTAGCCTTGAACAACTGGCTTCCTGTTTTCGAAGCAGAGGAACCTGTACCTGGCTTCCATTACGCTCTGGATCAAGTTCTGTTTAGCAGTACAGAAAACATAAAGGTGGTTCAAAGTGCGGCCACAGGACCTTGCCCCTAGTTGGCAATATAGCCAAGAATTTCTTTTACAGTTTGGCAACAAGCTGCGGAGGGAAAAGGTGCTGCAGCTGAAATCACAACTCTTGCTCTCACCTTTCGGATGACTGCAATTCCACAGTGCTGACTCAATGTAAAATGCATTTGCCCCACGTGACTCAGGAGCAAAGGGCTCCACAGTGCTGATTTCCAATGGACGCAGAACACATATACTGTAAATGGCTGCCCCTTGCTTATACCCACCTCTCTTTTAGTCTCCTTATTTTCTTCTGCACCAAACTAATTTCAGCTGAGAAAGTTGCAAATCCTGTTCCATACAGTCAATATTTTTGAAATTTAAGAGGACAGAGCATTGCAAGGCTACTCACCAGACAGAGGATCTTTGCCAACTATCAAGACGTTTGGCAAATTCATAATGATCAGTTGCTGGAGGACCTCCTAAAATATGAAAAAAAAGAGGAGATAGAATAATGAAAACTAATGCTAGTTGTTTTTAGAGACAGTTGTTTTTAAAGCAGTTTTGAGAACTACTAGTTATTTAATATGACTTGCCTAGACAAACATACTACTGCCTGGAAGAAGTGAATTTGTTCATGGAGGCAGCATCAAAACTCATAAGTGAGACTTGGGCTTTTAGAGCAAAGCTGCACATTTGCTAATTTGGTGAACGAGATCCTCCATAACATGTATGTGTATATGTGTGTTTGCTTAGTTTTTTTGTGGGCAGGGGGACAAGAGAAAGCAGCAGGGGTGATTCTGAGAGTGCTTTACAGTGGTACCTCTGGTTACGTACTTAATTTGTTCCGGAGGTCCGTTCTTAACCTGAAACTGTTCTTAACCTGAAGCACCACTTTAGCTAATGGGGTCTCCCACTGCTGCCACACGATTTCTGTTCTCATCCTGAAGCAAAGTTCTTAACCCGAGGTAATATTTCTGGGTTAGCAGAGTCTGTAACCTGAAGCGTATGTAACCCGAGGTACCACTGTACTGTGCTAAGGCTGGAGCAGAGGTAGGGAGGTTGGAACAGATTATCTTCCATTTCCTTGTAAGATCATTTCAACCACTACTTTTGTTTTCAAATCTCTTTATTTATTTTTTCCAGCCTCTTGTTCCCTCTCTCTCTCTTAACCTATTTTGTCTTCAGTGTGCCAATATCCTCCTCTTGGGCTACTTGCTCTCATTTTATGCCCCTCTCGTTTTTCACTTGCCCCCCCTTAACATTCCAGCATCCAGACATGCACATCTCTCCTTCCTTGCAAATGTTTAAACGAGCAGTGGGGAACCTCAGACATAAGGGCCAAATGTGGCCCTCTGGGACCCTCTATATGGCCCTCACAGTTCTCCCCATGCCAGCCCCCCTCTTTGCAGAGCACCCCCCTCACTGCTTTGCACCCTAAGTCTTTTTTCCTGTCTGACACGTTTCCTTGAACTCTTAGAATGCCTCTTGACTGCCTCGATAGAATACAGAGAGGAGTGAGAGACAGTGTGCATAGAAACCAGTCTACTGTACAATTTAAAAACTTTACATTTCTTGCCCTGCCTACTTTTGCTTCTGGCCGCTCCCATCCCTGGCATGTGGTTCTCAGAATGCTGCCCAGAAGGGAATGTGTCCCCTTGGCTTAAAAAGGGGTCCCCTGCCCCTTGTATGAAGCTTTTCATTTGCAAATGACCTCTAATCTCTGCCTCTCCTCCAAATTCCCTCGTTTTTTTAGACCAGCAACATTTGCTCTTTTTAATATATATATAGAGTGTACAATGCCAAGCGGTTTTACCATCATTACTGAATGCTAAGGTCTTATAATGCCTTCAAATGAATGTGAAGTGAAACAAGTGGGCATAGAACCATAGATTCCACTTCCCGTCTAGGGGCAGCTTTGCATGCTCTAAAATGCTCCCTAGCAAGAGGCCCTGTGGCTGCAGACTCATGCAGGAAGTAATGTATGAGCTGGTGGAACCATGTTGGCAGGTGCTGCTTCCTGGAAGCAATTCTGGTAAGCATAGTGGCATATTTTTCAGCGGCTGTGCTGATAAGAATCTGTAGACTCTAGACCTTTTGAATTAAGCTGCACGCCTAAAAGAAAGCACTGAACATCTAGAGATTTGGGGTTTTTAAAAATAATTCATTCTGCAGTACATTGATCAGACAAAACTAACTGCAAAATCCATTCTAGTATACAGCATATGATAAATTCAAATGGGGTGGATGTGTAGGAGCAGGGGTCGGCAACCTAAGGCCCATGGGCCACAAGCGGCCCATGGGAATTGTTTAACCGGCCCATGGACCCCCGCTGCCCGCTCAGTCGGCTCCCGTGAGCTAAACCAGAGCGGAGCGGGGACCGCCTTCCATGATGCTGGCCGGCTTCCCATTGGCTGCAGGAAGCTCCTGCAGCCAATAGGAAGCTGTGCACGCCTCCTCCGTGCCGGAAATAGCGTTTGCACATGCACTCCGGCCCACCGCGGCGTCTGCGGGACCGTGAACTGGCCCAAGCCAGAAAAACTTTGCCAACCCCTGTATGGTAGCAAACTCTTAGGGTCCAAGGTCCATTCAGCCCCACCCAGTAAAAAATTTGAGGGGGCCCCGAAGTTGATGGGCATTAGTATTTTACTACCTCTTACTTTTTTGCTTATTGGACAGGTGCCACTTGCCACTGGTCAGGCAAGTGAAGAGCCAGGTGCTTCCTCACCCTCTCCTGCACGACTGTCTCCCAGAACCAGGAGCGGATTGAAAAGAGGTAAGCAGAGGAAGCATCCACACAGGCGTAGCCTCCATGCGCACAGCTCATCGGGGGAAGGGGTTCCCTGTTGCTTCAACTGCTCCATGGAGTGCAGACCTGGGAATAGCTGCCTAAACGCTAGATTGATGTGTATAGGTCTCCTGAGCTGTAGAAGGGACTGTCAACAGAGACACCAAGATCATCGTATCCCAAGTCTTTGACAACAGAGAGGTAAACTATCTGCCATGGGCATTCCTTTGGCTGGAAAGAGCCCTTGACAGATGCTGCTCAACTACAGCTCCCATCATCCCTAACCATTGGGGCCACGCGGATTGGTAATGATGGGAGTTGGGAGTCTAACAACATCTGAAGATGCCACAGGTGGCCCATCTGGAGATTGTACAGGTTTCTTATTGCCTAAACTAAAGGACCTGATTACCATCAAGGGCAAACTTTCTACTGCACTTAAGAGAATTTTTCATTCATTAACAAATTTGGCTTCATTCTTGGAGCCTGGAACAAGGATGACTAGGTCTTTCCTTATGTCATAAAAGTATGCAGCCACCATGTGGTTGCACATTGCAGTACATTCATGCTTGTAGCTTCTTAATACACACATTTTTAAATTTAGAAACACACACCATCTGCTGGGACCACCTCATGCCCATCATCACAAGGTCATCCCTCGTTTTTGTCCTTACTTCTGCATGCCAATATGGACTCCACTGTCATATTTGCTTGCAAATCAGAAGTAGTAGGCCTGCCATTTGCTGGAGCTGCTTATAGCATTCTAGTAGTCAATTTACAAACACCCAACCAAACCTCAAGCATGTTTTATATGAACACCTGTTGCAGATAAAATGTCCTACTTGTTTTCAAGCTTCTTTGGGGATTCAGAATCAACTGAGCCTGCATGAAAAGCAACTCTGACCTAAACCCACAAACATGCACTTCTATTTTGGCTTCAGACTATCACCGCAGAGTCATCAAGATCAGGCATCCCCACCTTGCTTAGATGGGCAATCTCATCCTGCCTTAGATCAGACGCCAAGGTCTTTACGTTAACTTTCAGGATTCATCTTTTCATCCAAAGAATGAACAGAGCTAATATGAAATCACATTTCAATCTTGCACCAACTTAAAAAGGGGACCAAATAAATAATTCACAGGGTACCATCCGCTGACTCTTGTAATCTAATGCCTGAGCCAAGTAAATTCCATTTGTTGATTACCCCCAGGACAATGCTGAGCAGTCTTTTGCTATTCACATGTAATTAATAGGCAAACACACAAAAATCTATATGTTCACAACTGTCCTTACTGACCTTATCAACCTGCAGTCTATGGATAAGTTGCCCAATTTCCCCCTTATAAATACATAAAAAATAAAATGACAATTCAACTTTCAATCCTTATACATAAACTAATATAGATTTATTCGTAATAATATGGTCAGTATGTTGTTCTTGATAATACTGTATATTTATTTATTTAGAAAATGGATAAACTTCTCAAAATGTTCTCCAAGGGGTGTGTAAATCACAATCACCAGATATTATTCTTAGTTTATTTATTTCGGATCTTATGATTTATGTGGAAGTGGTTCAACTTATGCAGTTTTAGATTTTTTTGTTTTGTTTATTGCTTATGACTACTTTTGTTATGCTTGCACCTGTGTAATTTTTTATATGTTGTAAACTGCCTGGAGCATGGTTTTTACTTTGTAAAGGCGGCATACAAATAAAAGGACTGAATGCTTGATATTAAATGTGAAAGGTTTCAAATATTTTAAATGCACGGTTTTAAAAAGATTTGGGCCCCATACAACTGAAAGAGGACCTCTTTCCCTATAGGTTTATTAAAATCAGTGGGAAGCCCTTCCTGCCACTCTGAGAGATTTGGTTCATGAGGGGGACCTTCGTAGAGAGGGTCCCCAGGCATGTGGCATGCCCTCCTCCCAGAGACATACCTGGCCTTTTAAAACTGGCCTTTTAAAACTGAAGAATTGGTTTTGGTATCTTCCCTGTATGGTATTGTTTGGGGGTTACCATATTTGCAGGGAGTAGTCTTTTGTGTTGTGTTTCTATATGCTGTAAATCTTTCTGGGACATTCCTGTTAATGGCAGGTTATAAATAAACATAGGGACGCAGGTGGCGCTGTGGGTTAAACCACAGAGCCTAGGACTTGCCAATCAGAAGGTCGGCAGTTCGAATCCCTGCGACGGGGTGAGCTCCTGTGTTCGGTCCCAGCTCCTGCCAACTTAGCAGTTCAAAAGCACAAAGTGCAAGTAGATAAATAGGTACCGCTCCAGCGGGAAAGTAAACGGTGTTTCTGTGTGCTGCTCTGGTTCACCAGAAGTGGCTTAGTCATGCTGGCCACATGACCCGGAAGCTGTCTGTGGACAAACGCCGGCTCCCTCGGCCAATAAAGCGAGATGAGCGCCACAACCCCAGAGTCGGTCCCGACTGGACCTAATGGTCAGGGGCCCCTTTACCTTTATAAATAAACATATAAATAAATCTGTATTATAGTTAGTGTGATGATTAACACAGGGCACATACAAAGGTTTCGGCAGTGTGCATTTCTTCTCCTGTGTTCCTAAAAAAAAAAGAAAAAAGTACAGTGGTACCTCGGGCTACAGATGCTTCAGCTTACAGACACTTCAGGTTACAGACTCCGCTAACCCAGAAATAGTACCTCGGGTTAAGAACTTTGCTTCAGAA